GTCTGGTGCTCTGAGGGTGGTTTGCTCCTTCTTTCTTTAAAACTTCTATAGTCCTGATCTCTCCTCCTTTTTGTGTTTGCTACTCTCTTTTAACACCTCAAACCTTCGGCACGTATATGATCTTATTTTGTAGCAAGTGCCGTAAAACTCTTACTAAAACTAAAGCCGATTGTTGTATGCCTTATTGCCGAGCATGGCTTAATACGAGTACAATCCACGCTCTGATCGAGAAGTAGCTAGGCTAGCACCCACGAACTTTATTCCCAAACGTTTTCTTGTCCTGATGCCCCAAGTGTTTTGACGGAATACATACATATTGAAGGCCATACATATGGAGTGAGCCCTGTTCTCAAAAGATGGCAAGAAATCAAAAAATGACCAATCATTAGCATCGGTTTTGCCCAAAAGTACTTATTTAAAGAACTCACTTTCACAATTCTGTTTTAATATTCCTTACTAGACTCCAAGTGGCAGAAATGTGATTTTATAGAAGAATGCTTGGAGTCAAATGGACAGATAAAAGGACAAATGAAAGTTTTCTGAAAGAACGTGAAATACAGTGGGGCGTGCTTTCTGTGATTAACAAAAGGAGACTCGAGTACATTGGTCCCGCAAAAATAGCATAAAAGCAGATATGGTGACAAATTATGAGCTGCTGGGCGAAGCAGAGGCAAAGGAAAATACATTATACACTAAAGCCGTAAACTCTAATGGTGGTCTACAGCTTTATAAAATAATCCATAAAAGCAGAGATCGGGATAGAAGGCGGTCTGCTGGGGCACTGAGTGGGGCATCAATAGTCAACGGACGAAAACCGTCATGGTGACATGTGACGGGTCTGCTCCAGTGTCAGAATGGCAAACATAGCCACACGCGGGCTCGTTAGTTCATTGCTACACAACCCTAACACTATAGTTCCCAAGGTGGCAGGATGCCAGACCCTCAAATCCCCACCAACATCCGTGCCAGGCCCATGAGAACAAATAGAAATGACAAGCTCAAAACAGAAGAATGAGCTTCGATTTGCTTTCCTCTGACAGAACAAAGCAAGGAATTCTCGAAGGCTCAGAACGCCAGTCTTCCATTCACTGGTTTGATAACTATAGACCGTATAGACGTGTATCACATTCCACTCTGTGCTCGATTACAGTCAGCTTTAAAAGACCTGTAATTAGGTTCATAAACACCACCAGCTGAATTCTACTCTTAAAATCTATTGTGAAGGACGTTTTAAATCATTTTACACAGTCCTGTAATAGTTGGGGTGTGTTTCATGAGCATAGTTTTACGTCTTACTAAACATAACGTAGGTCTAGGGCAGAGCTCTTGGTCCAGAGCCAGGATATCAAATTGAAAGAAAATGTTCCATCAAGAAATAGAAACAAGAATAATTTAGTTTTCACAGAGATGCGAACCTTGAACAGCCCGACATTGACTCGACAGATCAATCCCGGAGTCTTCTGCACAATGTACATGTAGTAGATCTAGTCCTACAGACATGTAGGTAGTAGGTACAGCTAAACATGTGTTTTCTCCAGGGTCTGTACTTGGAGAGCATGAACGCACGGTGGCTCTACTGCCTCGAAGGTTTGTTTTTCGGGGTGTGTGAAGATATGACCCCCC